CCACACAATGGTAAAAAATATTCACTAATCCCACATCTGACAGAGGGTTGATCTCCAAAATTTACAAAGAACTCAAGAAGCAAGTCTCCAAAACACCAAAGGACCCTATTAAAAAGTGGGCTGCAGAACTAAATAGAGAGTTTTCCATAGAGGAGTCTAAAATGGCTGAGAGGCACTTGAGAAAGTGCTCAACATCCTTAGCCATCCAGGAAATGCAAATCAAAACAACTCTCAGATACCATCTCACTCCTGTCAGAATGGCTAAAATCAAAAACACCAATGACAATTTATGCTGGAGAGGATGTGGTGAAAGGGGGACACTCCCCCATTGCTGGTGGGAGTGCCAACTGGTTCAGCCACTTTGGAAATCAGTATGGAGATTCCTCAGAAAAATGGGAATAAACCTACCACAAGACCCAGCAACTCCACTCTTAGGCATATATCCAAAAGATGCCCATTCATACAACAAAGATGTCTGTTCCACTATGTTCATAGCAGCTTTATTTGTAATAGCCAGAACTTGGAAGCAACCTAGATGTCCCTTACCTGAAGAGTGGATAGAGAAAATATTGTACATCTACACAATGGAGTACTATTCAGCAGAAAAAAATAATGGAATCATGAGATTCGCAGGCAAATAAATGACACTAGAAGAAACCATCCTGAGTGAGGTAACCCAGTCACAAAAAGAGAAACATGGCATTACTCTCTCATATATGGATTTTAGACATAGATCTGGGGAGTGCCAGCCTACAATCCTATGGCCAGAGAGTCTGGGAAACAGAAACTTTATTTAGTGGCTGATCGAAGAAGAGGCAGACTCCCTTGGTTAAGTACTGAGCTGAACTTAAGAAAGCCAGTAACAGAGAGGGAGGACTGATGATCAAAGGGATTAAGTCTGGGTTGGTTTAACCCCCAGAAACAGCTGACCAGACAAAGGTTAACTCTTGAATCCCAGGCATCAGCCTGGGAATCCAGCATGGGACTGATCAAGGTGTCAGTGAAGAGGCCTAGGGAATCTATTGAGCCTTGGGCAGCAGATCAGTACCCATCCCAAGTATACACACAGACTTTGGACTCCCATAGAACAATGTGAGGTGCACTCTCACCCTGAACTCTTGGGGAAGGGTCTAGGCCCTGCCCTATATGAAATGACAGACTATGCACACACCCATGGAGGGCCTCACCCTCCCTGGGGAAATGAGGGGATAACGGGGGGGGGGGGTTGGGGGGAGGGCACGGGAGGAAGTGAGGGAATGGGAGAGGGACCTGGAACTGACTTGTGAAGCTACCTAGTTTCTTATCTAAATTTAAACTGGAAAATAAAATTTAAAAAAAAAAGAAAGGGCATTGAACTATGCTGCTAACCATGCCCACTTTGGGGTGTGGCTAGAGGCGTGTAAGGAGGTGGGAATAAAAGACCGTGCAGGAGAGCTGCACTCTTTCTCTTCATCTTCCAGTTCTATGACCAAAGCTACTTGACTCATCTTGGTTGCCCATATTCTCTTGTAAGTAATTTCTACAATAAACAATTACCTATTCCCTCAAAAAAAAAGAGATGCCTGTGTTGGCTGAGGATGGAAAAATGGCTATGGCACAGAAGGGCAGAGACGAAGCAAGCAATTCCATGAAAATATGTTGGTGTCACCAAAGTCACTCTACAGTCTCTGACTCATAAGTGTCCTCTCCATTTCTGTTTCCCGTGCACTTGCTGGGTAAATACATAAGATGCTTTTGAAAAGTTGCTCAGAGAGAAAGACCTTGAGTCAGCACATGATGCAACAGGCATGTGTTTATGCCAGGAAACCACTAACACAGAATGTGCAAGTATTACAAATTCAATGGGGATGGGGGGCTGGAGAGATGGCTTAAAGGTTAAGAGCACTGACTGCTCTTCCAGAGGTCTTGAGTTCAATTCCCAGCAACCACATGGTGGCTCAAAACCATCTACAATTGAATCTGGTGTATATGTAATAAATAAATCTTTAAAAAAACAGAAAAATCAAATTCAGTGGGAATGATAGAGGACATACAAACTATGAAATTCATACCAAAGAAAATTATACGCTTTCAAATAGTATGTAAAATGTATGAAACAGTGTTAATTTGTTAAACTTATGAGGAGCTATTAACATTACATATTACCTGAAATACAAAATGAGCGATAACAAGAGCATACCAGGAACTGCAAATTATTCTTTCATGCAAATGGAGCACAAACAAAAACACAAATAGCATTTCAATGGAATTTCAGCTTTTGCCTATCACCTTAGAAAACGTGTATTTAAAATTATCTAGCTGTGTGGTTTTTTCATATAACTTTAATACCAGCATTTGGGAGGCAGAGACAGGTGGGTCTCTGTGTGTTTGTGGCCAACCTGGTCTACGAAGTGAGTTCCAGAAAAACAAAGAAATATATATATATAATATTTAATTTTATATATCACATATTGCTTTGATTCCAGCCCCAAAGACTGGAGGAATACAAAGAAACACATCAAATCCCTATGTGTGCAAGGCAGCGTGTGGGTGGTGTCTGAAACTGTGGTCTTAAGGACACAGAAATTTCACCTCAATGTGGCTCAATGAACCAACTGCCTCTTCCATTATGGAGATAGCTGGTACAGGGCTCCTGATCTCACATTTCAGGAAGGAATAGAGGAAAACGTGTAAAGCAATGGCAAAATGAAGATAAGGGAAGTCAAATGTATTTGATTATCAAATGGGTATCCTTATGAGGGATCTTGTTTTGCTGGCCAGAATGCTGTTTATTGTAGATTCTAAGCAGGAGCCGTTCCAGGATATCAGGTAACAGGGGTGGCCAGCACTGTACTAAACACAGACTGGAGGAAAAGATGGTGGAGAGGGATAATACCAAGGCTTCTGGAGGACATTCCATTGGGCACAGAATCTATGAAACATGTGTAATTTGATAAAGTCTCTAAAAGAATCCAAGCTGGATATGATGCTTCAAATTTCAGTTTCATTTTAAACATTTTTCAGAGAATCATGTACATGAGGAACACTGCATGTACTCCACTTCTGGCTCTCTCACCCTCCCATCTCCTTTTGTATTCCCATTCCCAATTTACTATCAACTCTTTAATTAGAATTATATACATATATATATGAATTTTAAATGCATACATACATAATTACATATATACATACATACATGCATACACATGTGTTATCAGAGAGTCCATTTAACATTGCTTATATATGTATGTGTCTAGGACTCACCACTTAGGATTTAGGTCAACAACTGACAATGAGACCTTATAAAACCAAAAACCTACCCTATGGCAAATACTAATAATAATAATCAGTAAAATAAAGAGGAAGCTCGAGGTATGGTAAAACAACAACAACAACAACCAAAAAAAAAACACTTTGGAAGTTATACATCTGAAAAGGATTATTATCCAGAGTATACGAAGAACTAAGAAGATAAAATAAAAGTTGAAAGAAAACAACCCAATGGAAAATGAACTATAGATCTGAACAGAGACTTAAAAACAAAGAAATAAAAATACCTAAAATGGTATCAGGAATGTTCTACGTGGTATGTCTGTACTGCATAAGCCCAAAGCATTCCAAATTCCAATATGGAGATGGAAGTTTGACATTAAAATTCCACCCCTAGCAAGGGCTTTATTGCCAATCTCTAGCTACTTCCAAAAGGGAATGGTTCTTTCTGAGTGGATCTCCTGGTAAATTGGGCATGAGAAAAATCTCACATCTAAAATCATAAGGACAGCACAAACATAGTCTAGATGGATATAAAGAAAAAAGGACAAGAACTTTGTTAAACAGGGAAGGGGTAGATCTGGGAAGAGTTTGGGGAAAGTATTCTCCCATAGGTTAAGGGGTGATGGGAAACTTTCAAAGAACTAATAAAGATAGCTAAGAAGTATATTTAAAATGTTCAACATTCTTAAAAGTTAGAGATATGTAAATTAAAGGTTTTCAAGGGTATTAGGATAAAGTTGGAGGGGGTCCTTGGGCAGGAAACCATGGGGGATTCCATGGCATGCGAGGGTGAATGATGAGGGGGAGATGAAGGGAGACAAACATGCCAAGCATACAGAGCTTAAGTGAGAAGTTTTATTAGGAAGGGGGGAGAGGAGAGAAAGAAAAAGAGGCAAAGAGACATAGAGGAACAGAGAGAGAACAGAAGAGAAGAGGGAGACAGGAAAGTCCTGTCTGCCCCAAGGGACAATGGTAGAGAGAACTGGAAAAGTGAGTATAAGCAGGTGTGTGTGTGTGTGTGTGTGTGTGTGTGTGTGTGTGTGTGTGTCTTTTAAAGGGGTCCTTTGCACCTATGTGCAGACTATGCAATCATGGGAACTTGGGCTGACCAGGGTGCATTCTGTCAGGTGACAGGGGCAGGCCAGCATAATGCTTGAATCCTTACAGGAGGTTTCAACCCACTCCTGAGAGAAAACCTAAGATCATGAAAACAGCTGGCAACAAATGAGGGTGAGGGTGTAGGGAAAGGGAGCCCTCACTCTCTGTTGGTGGGATTGCAACCTGGTGTAGGAACTATTGAAATCAGTGTGGAGACTTCTCAAAAGACTTTAAGGAAATCCCCACAAGGCAGAGCTGGCCACTCCTTAGCAAATGCCCAAAGGACCCGCATCCTACTACACAGACACATTTTCTCAGTCATGTTCATTGCTGAGTTATTCACAATTGCTATAAAATGGAAACATCGAAAGTGCCCTTCAGTTGAAGAATGGGTCGTGGAAATGAGGGACATGTTTCTGAGGGGGAGTCCCATCAAAAGGACAGTACAGTTGATAGACAGCAGAAGTAGCTGGAGCAGAATCACTGAGATGTGACTAAGTATCTAAGCTCCTGTTCACCCTTGAAGTGACTACTAAAATGTAAGCAAGACTTCGTGTAAAGGGATTCATTGAAGAGTCTGTTGCAAAGCTTGGAAGAGCTCTCAGTAAGCCACATAGAAAGCACCAAAGACACATAAAAACAGACTCTTCTTCTGCAAGGAAATTTATTGGAGAAGGAAAACCAGTTGAGGCTAAGTACAAGGGTAATGACAGATCATGAGGTCTCAGAGCACATGGTGATGTTGTCTCAGGTCTCAGCGGCAGCAGAATTTGGGGGGGTTTGGTCCATGGCCGCAGAACCCTGCACTTCGTCCAGGAAAATGGCAGGATCTTCTACAGGAGCACACCAAGATCCCTCCTCTTCTGCCTGTGGAACAGAGAACATCAGCCATTTGGTAAGGTAGCCAGCAGTATGCAATAGTGTACAATTCTATAAAGATGAATGGCACATGGTACACAGGAGGTTTCTTTGTATTGGTGACATCACACTCAGCACTGTGATCAACTCCAAACACTGGGAAATAACACATTTAACAAATGTTGATCACATGACTGATCTAACAGGCATTTCACTTCCTTCACCTTTTTGAGTCCTCCTGACCCAAAACTGCCAGGCACTTGGTTCCTAAATATATTCTATTAAGCAAAGCAGATTTTTCTTTCTATCACAAATTATCAGATGGATAGACAAAGGACTAATCAATATGTCCTATATTTTAAAACTATTCCACAGATAAATATTTAGATCAAAACACTTAAAAGACAGACAATCTGCTATGCATTTTTGACTCTCTTTTTCTTCTATGAATAAGACAGTGAATGTTCTAGAGGATCAAGAGAGACACTTCCTGAATCACACAACTCCCCACGGGATTCCAGGGCACCTGATCATCCCTGTCTCAGGAGACGCCAACCCAATATCCTACTGGGCATCACCACTCACCTGAACTTTGGAGAGCAGAGCCTTCAGGGCCTACAAGGAAAATGGACACATCCTGGTTTTCTACCCCTGGCTGTTCCTCATTTTTAGCTTTCCCAGTTGCTTCAGGCAGAGGATCAGCCAGGGCCTGAAAGGCCAGCAGGACAATGGCAGAGAGGAGGACAAGTGTCTTCATGGCTGAAAGTCACCTTGAGGAAGGGTGAGCCAAAGCCTAGTGTGTGGGTAGTGAGGAGCCAGCCTGCATTTATAGGGCTGTCATGAGAAGGTGCAGACACAGGTTCTGTAGGTAGAGAGGGCACACCCTGATGGGAACGGGGAGAGACTGTTGCCCTCAAGATCCCTTTAATGTTCCTCAGTTCTCACAGCTGCTGCCAGGATGCTGGTCTGTGTGCTCACTGACAGCCCTCCCTTCCAGCTGACAGTGATGAAGGTGCCTTACTCTCTTCTCCTGTTTCCCATCTGCTTGAGTGTTTAACTTTCTGTGCTCAAGGAAAATAAAGAGGGGAGTATTTTTCAAGTTAGTTAGCTCATGGATCATAGCTTTTGGTGTTCTGAAGCTAGAGCCTACTTTTCTCTGAAAGTGAGGATCCTGGACCAGGTCTGAATACCTGTGGAATGAACAGTCAGTTCTTTGAGTGATTTGGTGTATTTTCACCCTCATGAAGGAAGACTTTGTGAATCCCTTCCTTTGGGGCTATTATGGAGATATAACATGGCCCTGGTGAATCTAGCTCCAGAGGAGATGAGGGACAGAGGTAGTCAGCATGAAGCTAGATCAGGTTGTTGTGAAGAAGTCAGTGTGACCGGAGCACATCTCATGGGTGCATTCCAGGTGCTACTTCACACTTTGGGAGCCATGAAATGATGAGCTGTGGCTCATATCTCAGATTCTGCATTTTTAAAAAATAATATAAGATATGAGCCTCCATCCAAGATTCAAATTGTAGAGAGGTTGAGGTGCTTTGCCTCAATCCCAAGAAATGACTCTTCACCAAGAAGTCATTGCCATTCATATATGAAAACTGTTCTGTACATGTTTATCCATTCCCACATTGTGTATAAATCAAAAAGAGATAGAACTCTCTACTAATTTCAGTCAGCATATTGTGCCCCAGGGTCATAAGTGCTAGCTCATAATTACATGTTGGTAATACTGTTCCATTGTTAAAATGCTTTTATTTACAGCTGTGTCCAACACCTATCAAAGTAGTAACATTTTACTATTTTACATACACACACATATTTAAATACCCCCCCCACAATCACACAATACCTAATGGGACATGCCCTCTTGAAAACCTTTGTAGACTCATATTTATCCGTCAAAAACCATATATTATATTTCAGACACATCCCTCAATATCTTCCCTTTTTTCAGAGTTGTTCTCAGAAGCACTTAGTAAATTTGCATATCCAAAAGTCCACCATGATAATTTGAATAATTTCTGTTACTGGTTTTCACTTGCCATTCTTCCTGCCGGTGTTCAGCCCAGAACTGGCTGATCATTGATGTCCAAGAGTATCTCAAACCATCAAAATATAACCTTTAGAAGAATGTCCTTTTTAAGTAAGGCAATCTTAAGATCTCCTGTACTCTGAATTGGGTGGAGGTGTGATCACTCTTACACTTTTTTTGTCACAAACCAGTGTGCAAAATGTCAACAGACATCTGAGTTATTCTTAATAATCAACTCTAATTCTTTACCAGTGACAATACTTATTATTTTTTAAGCTTCTGATTTCTGGAAAAAAAACTTTTCTTCAGTTATTTCTAGGGAGTGTATGTCATTCACTGGTGGGTTCACATCTAATCCCAGAGGAGATCAAGGAGAAACTATGGAGAGACTGTCTGCCAACAGAAGTCTTCCAACCTCCACTCTCATGTTCTAAGCAAGGAAACAAATAATCCCAATAAATGACAGAAGTTAAAGCTCTAAAATGTAGAAGATAACGTGGAATGTAGGGTAGTGGTGAAGTACAAGGGATTTTGACACAGCCCTCTTCTGTAATCTTTAGTGTCTCTGAGTACGGCAATTAACCACTTTAAAGTTCCTTTACAGAGCCACAAAATATTGCTCAACAAAGGCAGCTACTTTATTGGGTTGTTGTAAAAAGATTAAAAAGACCTCAGCAATCCATAAATATAAGCTAATCCAAATACGCTGCACACGTTATATTCTTTGAAAATGCTACCTGGTATCATAACTCAAATTATCGTGATTTCTATGAAGTCACACAAAGCTGCCTTGACTTATATAATAAGTGAACACTTAGAATTCTTACCTTATGTAAGAAGTGGTTGAGTTTATTAGTATTTAAATTTTATCCAATAGTTAATAATGTGTATTTGTGAAACTAGCAAGGCTCATATTTTCTAGTTTCCAACACCTCAAGAACATTATGGCATTATGATTATCATTGTTAAAGAGTGATTACATAAAATAAGCAGTTCTCCAAGATAATGTAAAAGAGGTTAATGTAATTACAGAAGAGTGAGTCATCATTTCTCACTTGAGGATGGATGAGACTTGGCTGAGCTGAGAAGTGAAGTGTATTAGAAATGATGATGAGGGTGCGAAGAAGAAAATGGGGAAAGTGGAACAGAGTGATGTGCAGCTATTTCTGACCAGAAGACTAAGATGTTAGGATGGCTGAGGAGTTTACTCAGACCACAGAGACAACCCTCCCTGTTTTAACAATGAGTGTTTAGGATCCAGCGAAGTCTAGTGGCCTTTTATTATGAAGTCAATACAGGACTTGTGGCTCCAGCCCCAGTTTACACACTTTTCCCTGTATTTCCATGCTCTACAAGGAGACCACAATCACGGTAAGAATCCATAACTGGAGTCTGCCACAGAGTTGGCTGCTATGAGCCAGTAAGCATGAGTTGTCCATTTGAAGTTTCTGGTATGAGTGGGATAATTTGAAAGATCTTGGGTGTTTTTTCACAATACCATAGGTTGCTTACTGAAGTTTGTTTGGAGGTTCATTATAATGATAAGTGATGACAACTGACCCAATTGGAGGATGTGTTGGCAATGCCATGTTGATGGAGAAGATGTGATTTCAATGGATACATGTCTTCTGATCATCATGAACTATAGTGATTCTCAATTGGTATATGAAGTGGCAGTTCCTCCATGTTTGTCCAAGGCCAAATAAAGTTAACTGCTTGAGACTCTTTTGGATTAGGCTAAAGTAGGGGATCCACCTGTGAGACAAAAGCATGCATTCTGTAACTGAACCTGGGAGTGTACCAGTCTTTTTGTTTTCTATCACCAACTGTCTCCCACATCAAGTCATGGAGACTTCTTTTTTTTATATTTTATTTTCCAGTTTAAATTTAGATAAGAAACAAGGTGGCTTCACAAGTCATGGAGACTTCTTATTAGTTATGAGTGCTCAGCCTAGCTTAGGCTCTTTTCTGGCTGGGTCTTTTAACCTAAATCAACCTGTTTCTCTATCTGCCTTTTGCCTTGTGGATTTTTAATCTTTGTTTTACCTTTCACATTCCCCACTGGCTCTAGATCACATGATCAAATCATTGCTTCCTGTTGAGGTACAGGTTGATACTGAGCCTATATGGCTAATATTTTAACAGAAATAATTTTTATAAGATGGCATGATTACAGTTTAGTAGCCTAACACATTCCCACTGGCTCTAGAAGAATGAGTCAAAACTTGGAAGTTTGATTTAAGTGTTTATACAGTTTGTCCTTGACACCCACAAATGAGCATTAGGATGAAGTAAGAGAGAGAAAAAACATCTACTTTTTCAGGGAAAATTTGCTTACCATGGAGTAAACCTTTCAGTCATGTCCCAGCTTCCATCTTGAGTAGCCCTTTCCTAAGTTTTATTTTAATATATACTTGTGATACTGAAGGAGTCTAGAGGCCAGCATGGGCCCTGGTGTGACAATAGACACCACAGGTAGCCACTTGTCATTTTTCCAGAGAGAAGGGAAGTGAGTCCTTCTGGTAGAAAGAAAAAGTTTCCTAATGTTCCAGACTTTTGTTGAGGATAAGAGGTGACGTACTCTCTTCAGCAACAGCTTTTCTTCGGAAATTAGGATGTCATTGTCAGGGACAAAGGAGGTTGGAATGCCAGTCAAGGCTGGGATGGGATTTAAGCAATGGGGGCTTTCATCAGAAGCATCTGGTCAGCTCACCCAGCCTCAAGAGACAGGAAGCAATCACATCAGCTGGACTGATTCACATCAGCTCTCAGCAAGTCAGGGCCCTCTGGTTTTCTGGGACCACCTAGGGCTGGTGTGGTGTAGGTCACCTTGGAACAGTTTGTAGTGTGCAGCTGATCCCTGGTCAGATGGTGTCTTTCAGATGAGTGAAAATCTGCTGGGATAGATACAGACCAGAGACAGAAGCTAAAGGTAAGGATCTTAGAGGAAAATCACACATTTGAAACTTTTTAGGCTTGTGGCTCTGGGAAGAACAGGGGAAGGGAAATGTCTGTCTTCGAGCTAGGCAGTAGGTAGGGCAGATTAAACTACTGATTGACATGACTGGATTACTTATCTGCAGTCTGTTTGACCAGTGATGGGTGGATTTCCCTCATGAATTTCTGAATGGTACATGTATTTCTTTTAAGTTTACAAAAAATGTTAGATATATTATCATAACTATTGCCTGTAACCTGCACTGAAATCCTCATTGTAGGAAAAACCAGTTGACAAGTGTCTGTAAATAATTAGGTAAACTCACATTTTAAGTCATAGCAAACATTCTAAATGCCATATTCAGCAGATCTATGAAGAGTTTTTAGGACCATCAATTAAGTATACCTGATTTTAAACAAACTTTATTTGTTTTTAATTACTTGCTTCATGCTTAACCATGAAAACATATACAGGAAGCTAAATAAAGCTTGTCCCATTAAAATGAGTTACAATTGTTCTTAGTGTAAGCACAGTTCTGAGAACATTGAAGAATTTGATCATTCATAAGGTGACTATTAACTTGATGTCCTAATTATCTTTAACAGTTTATAGCAAGTTCAAAGCTTTTTACAAGATCAGTATTTTATAGTTTTATCCCTGCTAAATTTTAGCCTTACAAATTATATTTTTTGAAACAAAGGTCTTTTATTTTTTTATTATTATCTTTATTTAGGTTAGAAACAATATTGTTTCACATGCCAATCCCAGCTCCCTCTCCCTCCCCTCCTCCCCCACCCTCCCCACCAGGTCCTCCAGTCTCCCATCCAATCTCCACTCGTTTCCCCAAAGAGGGTGAGGCCCTCCATGGTGGATCTCCAGTAACTGTTATTAAATCCAGGGCAGGGCCTAGGCCC